CTAAAGCTTTTAAATATGCTATATCTAAATACCACATTATTTCCTTTACCCATTCTTCTATGTTGAGTTCAAACTGACCTAGTATACGTCTTAGTGATGGTCTGTATTGTGACATCTTGTAAACCTTTTATATATGAATCTTTTATTCAATTACATTTTTTCTCGGTATAAGAGAAATTGCTTGCCTTGCTATTCCGCTCTATTGACCCCATGGCTGGTTTCCTGGATGGGTTAATATTTCCTTACCTTTTTTGGCTCCGTTGGCTTTGAAATCCTATTTCTTGTTCGGTTGGGGTAAGTAGGTGAAAATATTAATAAATGATTTAGATTATGAAATAAGTAGGTGAAAATATTAATAAACGGTTTAGATTATGAGATAAGTAGGATATAAGTAGGTAAAAAATATAAAAAGGTAGTCAGGATTGGACCCACAGCCGGTGTGAGAGTAATGGGAGTAGCAAGAAAAAGGTGACTAGAATTGGACCCACAGCCGGTGGGGGAGCAATGAGTTGGTAGCAAGAAAAAGGTAACCAGGATTGGACTCCGAGAAAAGTGAGCCAGAACTGGGATTTATATACTACTAACAAACTTGTGTTGTTATAACTAATCGGTTTAGTTTTCATATGATAATCATTCATGTATATCTTCAAATGAATTTCATTGGTGTTTTGATCACGATCAGCAAGCTTGAATAAGAAACTCCTAGATCGGCAGATTTCATAAATCTTGTTATAACCTGATCATTTTGGCGTAGTCACGTGAAATTTTTCCAGGGAGACCAAGAGGGTAGTTTTTTTCCCGTCTTTGAGTAAATTTTCTGAGATAGGCGCAATATCCGAAGGTGGTAAAGGAATATTGTCCTGTATGGGAGTTAAAGGAGTGTTGGAAAATGAAGGTATATTATTTCCTCCATAGCTAACTTCTTCTATTTCAGCATTTATTTCATTATGTAGTAACTGTTCAAAGTAATCTTCATCATCATAGGTATCTTCCATTTCATCTTCGTCGAGGTGAAGAGTTGAGTATGTATAAGGATAAATATCATCAATATCAAGGAAAAAAATATCCTTAGAAGAGAGTACTGTAGGCAGCTCAGTATTATGTAATATTTTATCTGAGTCATTTTCAGGTGGTGTTGGATCACCGAGTTGAGGAAAAGGATGTTGTGAAGTGGAAGACCAGTCTATTTCAATATAGGGTGTAGAAGTCATATTCCTTTATAATATAGGTTATAAAAAGAACTAAAAACCTCGTATAAAACAGAGATGCCCATTTGGGCCTCTCCCCCTTTGGCGTTTCAAATAGAAACTAAAAAAATTAAACTTGTGCAAAATTACTGCGGAAAACTAACGAAAATAAAAAAAGGGGAAAGAGTTTTTTTCCTGTTCACTAGTTGTTTAGATGTGGGACAAATAAAATTTTGATCTTCAGTGATTTAATCTCACGTGACTTGTGTAGCGTGATCAGTTTACTGTAAACTTACTACAAATTTCTCTCCCTTTTCTTTTCCCTTTTCATGTTAAAATACTTTTTTTAAAAAAAAAAAATACACTAAACAATAAAAAATTTTTATAATTTATTTTATTTAGTGTCAATTTTTATATTTTTCACTTACATTTTAATCCAAATTATAAATGAATAAAACTTTAAATTAATATTATATCTTTGATAAAAAACGTTTTTTTTTCTAAGTGTTTTAATATAAAAAATCGTTTCGCAATATATTTTTATACTAGGAAACGGGACCCCAACGTAACTTTCAACAATTGAGTAAAATCGTCATTAATGTCATTATGTATTATTCGAATTTATCACAAATTTGATGTTTATTTTGATCATGTGTCCGATCAAATTTCATGTTTGTCACTAAAATTTAATTAGTGATATGAGCCGAATTGTCTGACAGATCAATATCTTCTACATGTAATGCTTATTTTCTATTTGATCATTAATACTATCAATTAAAATTTGTTTTATTTGTTGAATTAATATAAAATTCTCTTCTGATCTTTGATTACATGTCCAAACATGATAAATTCTTCTCTTTCTATATTACATATCAGATAAAAATGATCTTTGAAAATTGAAAAATACAATTTTTAATTTGTTCTATCGTAGGTATTTCTTTGATAAGAAATTGAATCTTTTTTCTCTTTAACTTAGATTCATAAAAATCTGTATGCGTGGTACCTTGGTCCCCTTGTAATAGATAAAATGTATACTTGTAGGTTTTGATATTTATGATTACGATTGTTCCAAATTAAAAATATTCGTATATATTTTTAAAAATTTTCTTAAACTTAATTCTATCAGTATACCAATTAGGAAAAAATTTAATTAGCAATAATGACGTTATTAGCTTTGCTATACTAACTAACATATCTATCATATCTAGAAAATAAACATATGCCGATCATTTCAAGTTGGTTTTAACGAAAAATTAAGTGATATTTAAAACTACTTTTGCCATTTCTTTGTCATCCTAAGTAAACTTGCAAAGTAGCCAAACTTAATCTTCTTAATAACTTTTGAAATTTGTATATTTAATATTATTAAGAAATTTTCTCTATTTTGTGATTTTTGATGATTGACATGCAAAATTTGTTTGTCATACACATATATGCGGTCTGCAAACGGGACCCGGAACCCGGAAACCTTAACTCGACCCGGACCCGGATCCGGGTTTGGGCCGGCAAATTTTCTTCAAAATTCACCCGGGCCGGGCATTTCGTGCTAGTGAATTTTTTTTTGATATATATATATATATATATATCTTTTTTCGCTTGCTAGATAAGTAAATTTAGTCGGTAAGTTCTGCCGAATTGCCGATTACTAATCATTTTGTTGATTACTAATAATATTGAAACGTACTGCGGGACTTATAGTAGATCGTAATGAAACATGGTTATGATAAACCATTGAATTTCTTAATAAAGGTATCCTATTTATTATTTTCACATTCTTTTTTATTAACCGCAACACTCATGATGATATGATGTAATGGTACGACTGTATTGATTATTTATTTAAAGAAAATACTTTTGCTGATTTCAAACTTAAATAACAAATGAATACTTTTTCTGAACTAGAAATAACAAAATTACTTGATGAAAATGGTACATTTGAAGATGCGGAAGTGTATAATCTGATAAAAACACTTCTTAAAAAAAAAACAGCATACGGTGTTTGTCGAATTCGCAGTGGAATATATATCGGCTCTGGTTTTCATTATGATATTGGTTGGATTGTAACTACTTCTGACGTATTACCCAATGAGAATGATATTTTTGGGGCGGGCATAGAGTTTACATCTCCAAGCAATACCGAACCCCTCACATATGGTCCTCCTGAAATTGCTTTCCGTTATCGTACCGTTCCAGATGACCATGAACTAAAGGTATTATCTAAAGACGAATATGCTGTACATTCCATGCTTCAATATAAAAATGAGACGTGACATTAATAATTTGTAATTCCAATAATTCAGAAAAATTATCCAGATTTATTGATCATGAAAATGGAGACTAAAAGAGAGCCAACAATTGGCTCTCATTTTCATACAAATAGAATGGAAATTGATAGAGCAGTACGCATAAACAACGGTTCAGGCGAATATGTGCAGTCAATTAATGTAAGTATGAAAAGAAAAAATTCGAACTCTTATTTTTTTACTTAGATCTATTAAATACTTTATAGTTCGGCGAGGAAATTGCCGTTGGAAGTAAAATACATTTAATCCATGTAAGTACTTATGGAAAAAAATTCCGAACTCTTATTTTTTTAACTTAGATCCATTAAATGCTTTATAGTTCGGCGAGGAATTTCACAGTGATATGAAACAACATAAGCAGTATACATTTAATCAAAATATCACGGAAATTTTTGAGATAAATTCAAGTAAAATCATCAAATATCAAGGTACCACCAAAAAAATTACTCCAGGATCTCCAGTATATGATACTAAAGGGTATTCTATTGGTATAACAATTCGTACGGATGAGAATGGTATTTCTTATGCAATTCATTGGGACACAGTCAAGAAATTTATTCTAACAGCAAACGGATTGAATGCCAAAATAAACAAATTAAACGATCACCTTTTTGTTGCAAAGAATGTCGAACTTGATGGAATTGAAACTCAACGCGTAGATCTTAGAAAGCGTCTTAGAGAGCGTCTACGAGAAATAGAAGGTGATAGTCAGATTGATATTATGACATGTAAATCGTTGTGATAATATTTATATGTATATCCTTCTCTTTAATCTTATTGATCTTATTAAATATAAATAAAAAATTTTGTAACTTTAATCATGAGCTAATAAAAGTTGAAAAGACCTGAACTGAAAAATTATCGCAGAAAATCATAATATTTATTTCCAATCCATTAGTTATAACTAAAGTAATTAAAGTGTATTACAACTCTGAAAATTGCGCCTAAAAAGAATAAATATCATTTAATATAAAAATGCAGATAATTACCAAGTTCTGAATAGGGCGATTTCATTTGGGGTTTCATCTGAACTTTGAAGAGGACTATGAGTATGTGATAATGTTTCTTCAATAGGAAAAGAATTAATTGGGTTATTGTCCCGTACATGATTTTTTGCATCGGAAAATAATCGCACTTGGCTTTAACGTATATGTTCCGTATTAATAATATTAATTTGTTTTTACATATCCAGAATATGAACAACGTAAATTATTATTGTGTTACGTTTAACTGAGGCAGAGTATAAAAATGAATAGCCGGTAATACCAGCCCCTAACGTTTCTTTATTCTGATTCTCTGGAATGGGGCTTTGCGTATGATATTTTTTTATCGAAGACTGTTTGACCATATTGGATACATATTGTTTGAACACACCACATCCAGTTTTGAGTGTCTGTAACTCAAATGACTTTGACGAAAGTTCCGCCTCACAATTTTGCAATTCTTTGATGAAAGTTTAGATTCTAAGGTATGTATTTCCGTTATTTTTGATGATAAAATAAATTCTAATTCTTTTAGTCTCAAATTAAGCACATCTAATTCTTTTCACTAGCAATCGAATTTGCCTAAGCTGTGATGCGGTGGATTGTATATCAAGATATTGTGACTTAAGCCTTTCCAATTCCGTCGTTAGACTTTGGATATGTTGTTTATCAAATGCTATCTGCCGTTCAAGATTCGAAACATTCTTTGCGTTGGTTAGTAATTGTTTTACCTCTTTACTTAACTTCTTTGACGAAATGATAATTTGTTCTAATTCGTTCCTCAAATTTATATTTTTATTAGAAACATTATAATATTGCTGTTTCAATAGACAATAATCGCCCTTAATTTTCTCGTACCTATCTGCGAGATATAAAGCATGGTTGACAACTTTATTTAATTTCTCGGTTGTGCTATCACGCAATTAGTGAAGTATCTATTATTTGGTGAACTGCCCAGTTTTTCCCTTCGCCTATTATAGATGAATCCCATATAATGTGTACATCGAGCATGTTATCTCTTGGTTATATTACGTAATAAAAATTTTGTAATTATGAGTTATTGAATGACAAGCGCAAAAAAAAAATTTAATCAGTAATTATCAATAGGATTACTACAATACTTATCAACAAGTATCAAAACTTTGCGATTTTTATTGGTAATTATTGGGTGGTAAATTTTGAAACTCTGTGATAGGTATTGATAATTATCAATAAACAAGATTCTGTGATTTTTGATGTATATTAAAAATTTCGATATTTACTGTATATATACTACTCGCATTTCTGATACATAGTATCCCCAAAAGATCTTTTATGCCTCGTATTAGTAGTGAGTTTTATAGAGAGCAGGTGCAACGATATTGTCACCAGAAGCGATTCAGGAAATCAAAGATTCCAAAGACAGGATTCCTAATGCTGCAAAGACAATGGCTTTAAATACCATATTTTCATCTCGTCGTGTTTATGACTTGTTGAATAATTGTGCACGAATGCAGCAAATACCTGACAATGCTTACCAAAAAAAATAACCTTGGAAGAACCTTTAATTTCTCCTAATAAAAAAGACGAAAAAATTCTCAAACTGTTTTTCAGGCATTGCACCAGATAAGGTTCTGGAGGGAAAGATTGAAAAATTGGAGAAATTTGTTCTGCGTGATGGTTACAGACATCTAACAAAATGGGAAATATCACTTAATTAATGTTATTCTTCCGTGTTTTTAATAAACATTGTAATACCTAAGCCCGTGATAAGTCACGTTTGCCACCTTAGATATTGACAAAATAATACTTTATTAATAATATAAATAAATACGATAATATGGTTGGTTTAATAATAATAAATAACGGTTAAATATTTATCCTAAAATTTTTTTATTTTCAAAATTCGTATCCTGATTTTTAACAAGATTAAAACGATCTGCTATTTATTTTTTTCTGAATATAGTTAACCTGTTGAACTTAACCTACGACTTTTTATACTATGCGTTGCCTCAAAAACTAAATATTTACTAAAATCATTGCTAAAATATGGCGTGCCAGACTGGACAGAAATTTAATGCTGAGGGTTAAATTGTTTGACGTTTAAGGTTAACTGTGACAGTCAAATATTTTACCAATTTCATCATAACCTTTGCCATTACCGTCAAACTGTTTGGTTTTACAGCTATAATCTTTGTCGTTCACCATCAAACTGTTACTGATAGGCAAACAGTTGCCTGATTAAGTAAATCATTTACTAATAAATCTAGCATATATATTGCTATTTTTTAATTTTAACTATTCTTAGTAATTTTTTTTAAATATAAAAAGCAATTTTATAAATTTAGAATTACTTGTTATAGTATGACCAAAATCTAACATCGAATTGCCAAATATCAATGATATGCATTTAATTTATTTATAACGATAAAAATATTTCTTTCTTTCGCAAACTATGTTAGTTTCCCAATCAGTTTTCCCATCAGTTTTTTAAGTTAGGTAAGCTGAATAGTTTTGAAAGCATATAGAGTAATGTTTCTACTTTATATACAAGCAGTAGTTCTTTTTTTTATTATTTGAAAGTTTTTTTAACATTCTGTTGGAAAAAAAATGCATTACTCAATAGAAATATTTAAAAAATCATAATTAATAGTTTTAAGTGTAATTTATTAAATTGTAACAGATTAAATTATGAATTAATAAAGTATTTAGTTAAATTTTATTTGTATTTATTTTTAAATAATTTATTATTTTTTAATTTTTTTTTTGTTAAATATTATGAATTTTATTTTTTTTTTTTAATAAACTAACATAATAGAAATTTTGGATGAATTATTAT